ATAATGTAATTGCGCGACTATAACACAGTGGGTATGTTACTTTTATATATATATTATATATTTATATATGTATATTTATATAGTTACAACCGGCCCTTTGAGTGCAACCTTTATGTGAATGTGGTCCGCGATGAAATTGAGTTTGACACCCCTGTTCTAGGGGGAGGCCCCCCAAACCCTTCGTGCGTCATTTCGTCCGCGCGCATTTTTCAGGGCAATCTCTATTGGGCTCAGGGCCATCTGTAAATTAGCTTAGATGGCCCAAAATCCTTAATGTCATGCACTGTACCCTATCACAAGGAATCTTACCGTTCCTCAGTGCGTCGGCTGCTCCTTTCGTAGGAGGACGGTGGTGAAGCGGAGCGTCTCCTCCGTCTCTCTGTGCTGCGCTGAGGAGTTTTGTCAGAGCCTCGATCCCGATCTCTCTCTCTGTCCCGATCCCTCTCCCTCTCTCTGTCCCTCTCTCTGTCTCTCTCTCTGTCTCGATCTCTGTCTCGGTCCCTGTCCCTGTCCCTCTCTCGATCCCTGTCTCTTTCAAAATCTCGGTCTCTCTCCCTGTCGCGTTCCCTCTCCTTTTCTCGCTCCCTCTCGCGTTCTCGGCTACCAGAAGTGGTGCGTGGCGTCAAAGTTGTGTCTCTATCCCGGCTACGATCTGTGAGAAAGCTCAAGTTAGCAAAAATGAGAAAAATTCATAGACAATCAAACGCATTGTTCTAAACTTACCATTTGCCTCCTTTTCCACCTGAATCTTCTTTGGTATCCTGTACACCTCCTGAAAGAGAAACACCGTTTTGACTTTAAACTTCAGAATACTGACAGATTACAAAATTATATTTGTAACTGTGTTTCACAATTTATGTCTTTTAAATTAAATCTGTTTGCGCCCACCTTCAGATCTTTCCAGCTGTCCAGAAGCCTGGCAGCCATGCCACAAATGTCCAAAGAACTGAGTTGGGGCTCCTGACTCCTCTCGCTCTCCACATCTGAGACACCTTCCTCTTCATCTTGAGAAGGAGTTCCTATGGCTGATGGCTCAACAGGGGTTGCTATGACTTCAGAGGGCAGACTGGCCTCCGGGGTCTCAGAGTTACAGGAAGCGTCAGTGGTAGATTCTCTAGGTTGTGTCTCGATGACAGGAAGTGGTTTCTCAGCTTCCTGTGTCTCTGCCTGGGCCTCCATATTCTCGGAAGGCTGCTCAGGCAGAAGATCAGCAACATCTGTTTGCATGGGCTGAATTTCTGGCTCAAGAACTTCTACGCTGGGCTGGTCTCCTTCAGGTTCAGCCTTTTCCGTCACAGACTGATGTGTATTCTCCTCCCCACTCTGCTGTTCTTTACTAGGCTCTTTCGGCTCTTTAAGTTCATCCGTAGGAACCTCACTTGTGTCCTCTTTCGTCTTAATCTCAATATCTTTCTCCAAAGTCAACTCCATTTTATCTTCTACCTCTTCAGTTTGAGGTTGTTGTGGTTGACCGCTGGCACTCATCCCCGTCTCTTCCTCTTGGCCCTGGACCTCCTCTTGGCCCTGGACCTCCTCTTGGCCCTGGACCTCCTCTGTGACCTGGACCTCCTCTGTGACCTGGACCTCCTCTGTGACCTGGACCTCCTCTGTGACCTGGACCTCCTCTTTGACATGGACCTCCTCTTTGACCTGGACCTCCTCTTTCATCGGCTCTTCCGTCGTTTCTTTTAGCGGATCTGCAGCCTCAGACACCGGCTCTGCCTCCAACTGTTTGTCGTCAGGAAGTCCTGCATGTAAGGATTCTTCTTCCTCGTCATCATCGTCCTCCTCCTCTTCCTCCTTGCAATCAGATGCTTTGCTGGCGTCAGAGAGTGCACTGTCCAGACTGTTTTCACTGATGATTTTAAGGCGACGGTACACAGCGGGTTTTGCCGATTCACCGTCCAATTCTGGTCCCACCTTGGTGGAGGAACCATCAGGAGTGTTGAGGGGGGTTTGAGCACGGGAGGTGTTCTCACTAGAGTAGTCATCCATCTCAGCAGGGTGATGGAGTGATTTTGTCTGTGCCCATCGCTGGATAAAGGTAAGGACCCTGCTCTCCTCCAACATGTTCTTAGTGGAGATAGGGAGCACAGCCAAGGTCTTCAAAATCTGTAAACAGAATCATAGACAGTCAGTTTAAATGTGGAAAAGCTGCATATATGAGTGTACACGCTCTGAAGAATTAAAAAATGTGCTTAATGTTTAAGTGCAAAGTCTATGAAATATGTCACCTCTAACTGCAGTTTGACGTTATTGGCACTGTTGCCTTTAGCTTCAGAAATCTCCACCATGAAGATCCATAGCAAAGACAATCCATGATGGTCCAGGAACTGCTTCAGGCATGATGGGCTTTGAGTATCCTGTGCAACACAAACAAGGAAAATTAGGTAACGTAAATGAAAATAAAGAAGTACCGTAATTTTCGGACTATAAGCCGCGCCTTTTTTCCAATTTTTCAAAGCTGCGGCTTATACAACGGTGCGGCTAATCTATGGATTTTTACAGCTAACGGCCACCAGGGGACCTCCTAAATCTATGGATGTTACAGGTTACAGTCCACCACCTTTAACTCTATGGGCTCTATGGCCGGTCCGCGCCCCCCACCTTTAAGCGGCGGGCTCCAGCAGGAAAAGCTGGAGGCCGGAAAAGAGTGAGACAGGTAGCGCGCAAAAGTAAAAGTGGAACCGAGAGTGGTACGAGAGACAGAACGAGAGCAAGACAGACAGACATTACGAGAGCGAGACAGTTTGTCCCCGTACCACTGGTTGAAAACCACTGCTGTAGATCACTGCCGGTACGTGCGCTGGGAGCGCACCGTTTAAGTTTGAAAGTTGAAAAGTTTGTGTGTCTGAAACGCTATGTGATACAGTACAGTTTACACAGCACAGTACATGTTCTGTAGCTACTATTGCACTAAATGGTAACACTTGAAT